TAAAAATACACTAGCAAGTAGTATGTGCAAGAAGAAAAAGAGTAGCAGGATGAAAAAATGATGAATTTGTGATGAATCTGGATGTAGGCAGTATAAAGGGCCCCAGTCTAAAGAGAAGCCACCAACTTGTCACTGAAGGAATGTACTTGCAGAGATCTTGTATATAAGATACCGGGTTTCTGAAATACAAGACACGTAAGTAAAGTAACAAATATAAAAACTTTATATGAAAAAATTTTGGAAGAATTTGTAGTGTTTCGTTGAGCAAACAATATTCAAATACGGAAAAGGTCAGAAAAAAAAAGCAGACACCAGATTTATTCTCATGCATTTATAACTGGATGAAATGTAACAGGCTTATTACAGCAAAAAAAGATCTAGGTAAGACATTAGAAAGTCTTTCTAACTAAATAAAGATGGCTAGAGGAGTGGATTTCCATAATCTTCCTAAGAATCTCCATCATTGGAGTTTTTTAAGAATAAATTAGACAGACATTTAATCTGATCTGTATAGACAGTAACGCCTCAGAGGAAGGATGAAACTTTGTGTCTCGAGACCCAACTGTGCCTATGCTTTTTTTTCATGATGTGTAGCCAGACTATTTTTTCCTAAATGTATTTCATCATTTGTATGTAATGCAGTGCCAAACACATTGAAATAAGGCTGCTAAAAGTGCGTATGAAAATAAACTGATCAAACTAATTTTTGTGTTTTTCCACTCATTATGGAGCTATCATGCTGAAGCAAAATACAAAATGGAGTGTGGTATGAATGCTCAGTATGGAAAAGCAAAACAAAAATTAAAAGTAAAAAAGGTAATCCAACACATTCATTTGTAACGGAAAATGTTCTCTGGTAATAAAACTTGCATTTTCACAGTACTCTTCTACTGGGAATTTTAAAGACCTTTCAGAAATTTTCTTAGCACCCCTGAGGTACTCTGGGAGGCGAGGCCACAACTGTGTAGCTTCATATTGGAGACAGAAGCCCCAAAATGCCCAGGTCAAGTTCTAAAAGCTGCTGGCTCTCAGCAGGGTCAGGCCTGGCCTCCTCCAGCTGCAGCTCATCCCCTCTCTTTTGTCATGCTCTTTCAACATCACTGTCACTTGTCAACTTGCAGAAATGTCTCGTTGCTCTCATCAACACTTAAACATGGAAAATCATCCTCTGTGACAAGAATAAGTGTTGAGCTACTTCCCTTTCCTGAAGACCTCCACCAATACACCTATATACAGCAAACATGTAAACAGGGACTTCTATAAAAGAAAAGGTAGTTGGTATTTATTAATAGCAAAAATAACTATTTGCTTATATTTGGTATATTTATATATAAATGTACAAGTTAATATATAAATATACATGAATTGATATAAACAAACATGTAAAAAGAAAACAATTGTAATTATTTCTTAGATCTAGTTTCCTGTCTTCTCTCCTTAGGACAAAGACCCCGGTAGATTTCATATGTTTGTACAGCACATTGAACCAAACAAGCATTGCTCTTGGCAAGCATCTCTCATTGACATTATAAAATGAGTAATATATTACACAGTTGTGTCTTAATGATACAGTCCTATACTTTGAAAAACTGAATGTGCATAAAGTTTATAACCTTGACTTGGTGGTTGTTTAGGTATTCACAAAAATAATTATTTAATATTGTTATTGGTTGACCAGTTTATGTGTCTGTCTTATGTTAACAATGAATACATGGGCCATGCAAATAGTAGTTGCTATGTAAATGAATACTTCTCCATGTTCGTATTATTTTCATTTGGCAAGTTCTCAGAGGTAAATACATTACAGTAATTCTATCTGTTTACAGACAGTTGGCTGGACATCAAGATATATCTGTCAAATGTCTATTAAAAAAAAGTGGTTGTCTGGTATCAGGTGGATTCAATTTCTAAGAAAACTTAACTTTGCACTAATATGCCTTTTACCACCCTTCAATATCACACTTTGTGTATCACTATTAAAAGCAACAGCAAAAAGTATTTTCACAACATAGGAGGAAAAAACCTCCCAACTCTCTAATAATGACAATAACCTCAGCCAAGGATATTTCTCTCTTTCTCTTAAATTAATAACTAGCTGGGGTTAATGTCCACTGGCTTCACCTTAGGCCCTCAATTAAACCCTGAACCTCAATTGTTATTACCTAATTGACTTAGTTTCATTTCATTTTAACATTTCAAAGTGATCTTCCTAAAATCACCCTGACAGAGTAACGTGGTCTCTGTAGATATGCACTGACATGGTTTCAATACTGTTACTTTGTCTCCATACACTTGCATTGACATTTCATTTTGTGTTGACATTGCAGTGCCACATCTATGGATCTGTGTAGATGACATGCAATTGTTCAGATTGGGTGAAAGCCTGGCCAGGAGCGAGGGCAGGCCAACATCTTACACAGGGACATGATGCCATGTGAGAGCTACTAAGCAGAATTGCTGTTATCATTGCGAATGTTTGTTATCACTGCAAATATGATCTGTATGTTTGTAAACAGAAGAGTTATCAAATTTCACTTGAAATATTGCTGGTTTTCTTAAACAAAAAATCAACCAACCAAACAAAATATTTTGATTTAGGTCAGCTTAAAAATCTAGCCTGAAAAATGTACCAGGTAAAGTATTTAAAAGGAGCTTTTTTGATATTACCATTTAATGATTATATGAGGATGTAAAAAAATTATACAAATTTTGTGTGTTCCAATCTTACAATACCAACACAAATAGCTGAATACTGTAAGACGCAACACAAAATCAAGAAATCTTTGTAAAAATAGGGCATCAAAATATAGTCTTTTTATTATCTGAAGAAGTTTTTGAAAAGTCTTTTGAAGCTCTTTGATCCAGCTCTGAAATAAATTTGGTAGATTACTATTGTATGAAACCCATAATTTATAGTAGCTGACCTAAGCTGCTCTTTGTATAACAGCCATATATGAAACAATAGCAGGAAAGTGAAAAATACAAGGGGAACTAAAACTGCTCTGTTTATTATTTAGCTCATAATTACATCTTCCTTATTTAATCTTTTGAATCCTGGCATGTTTTTAATAATACAGGTTCAGTTAATATTTACTATACACAAGAGAGTTAGTTTTGAGTAACACATTTAGACTATCCAAACTTTGTGTAACTTGTGACCTTTCCCTAACCTAAGCGAGGTCTATTTTATACAGATTGTACTAGATAGACGGTTCCTCTATAAATGGTGAAGTTGCTGCCAAGCTCCCATTGTTAGCTAGTTCATTTTTCGACAGGCACACTTTAGGTTCCTATCACACCACTGCAAAGAGCAAGCCCTTGAGGTTTCTTCTTTTATCAATGTAATAAAAAGGTTATTTCTGAATAACCTGCAAATCCAAAACAAATGGCCCTTTGTGACTTAGAGTAATAGGATAGGAGGAATTTTTTTTGCTGTTTTTGCAGGCAGCCTTCTATTTTATTCCATAATATCATATCAATACTTAAGCAGCATTCGTCTTAATGTAACTAATCTCATCCTTGAAATAAGAAATGCATGTTTCTAACAACTGTTCCCTTTGCTAAGTTTTCACCATCAAACTGCAGAATATCCCTTCAGAAGAAGCTTTCTAAATAGTAAGACTACAACAGATGAAGCACCAGCAAGAATCGAGTTCAATTCTGTGTATGTTTTGTTGACCTTTGAAGAGTTGTTATCAACTGTTAAATAACAACCACCTTTATGATGAACAAGCTTTTGCCAGATCCACTGTGGTGTGAAAATGGGGAGATAGCCGCCTTTTCCATTCTGAGCTAAGTAGATTTTGGCACAGGAGGAAAGCTAAACCTTTGACTTCAACAAATCTCCTTGAAGAAGTACTGCACAAACTTGCAGAAAGGAAGTGTCCTTAATGAAAGAGACTGGTGTGATAGCTAAATTCCTAATATTGCATATGCCTACTTTCCAGTAGCACAAATGCACTCCTAACTTAGTCCTTCGTGCAACTGTACTCTCAATACAGGGTGAGTGATTATTCTGCACTACTGTTTGCCTGGTGAACAGTCCTAGCCTGCAGAAATAACCTACGTTTCAAACCAAGAGAATGAAGAAGGGCATCACAATACTTCCACAATACCAAGCCATGTGGTAATTTGAGGGCAGTCTCCCTGCCATTTAAGGCTGCTATTTAAATGAGAGTAAGAACAAAACCGCCTGAGATGGTTGGTCAATCCAAAGGCATACAGAACTGGAAACAGCACTCTTCAGATGTAGTAATAGCAACAGAAGCAGGCAGTAGAAAACACAGGACAGAATTTTCAAATGGGACATGTGAGAAAATGGGAGGATACTGAATAAATAAATGGGAAATGGTTAAACTAAGATGGAAAATTAAAAGGAGAGGATTTAAAGGCAAATCGAAAGAGGCATGAATAGTCTTCTGTAATAGTCTAGATGGTGGAGAAATCCAAAAGCAAATAACAGAAAAGTATGACTTTTTGAATGAGCCAATATAACAAAACAGGAAGAACATTATTCATGAACTACCAGTACTATTAATGTAACGAAGTAAGACATTGGGTCCCTTTTCTTCAGCTTTAGATCATAAGTTTTATTCTGCTCTGAGCTGTCTTTAGGGAAAGATCATTAAACTCATAGTAATAATATGTCTCCAGAATACAGGAACAGTAAAAAACCCAAACCACTTTCTTCTTATACTAGAGTGTGTGACCCACTCTTGTGCTGTTACTCCTGTATAAGGAAGTTTTACTTCCCTGTTCGACACAATTTCATCAATTCCTAAGGCTCAGAACAGGCCTTATTACAGTGCCTGTAAGAGCAGATGCTTGGCAAGTCTGTGTATGCCAGTGAGAACATCATTCAATTTTATGCACACTTCTGTTTTCTGCCTTGGTATAATTCATTAGCACACTCTACAAAATACCCCATAAAATTGAATTTGGCTTTAATGTTAAGGTTCTAATGACTACAGCATTGTTTAAGAAAACAAACCCAACAAAAATCTCACAAAGAGCAGTTTCTCCTCTTTAATATTAAAGTTGATGTTTACACCTGATAAACAGAGAAAATATCCAAAGGATTATATAATACACAAGTAGGAATAACAAAATAGTCCTAATTTTTTTTACTATTTTTGCCTTCATCATTTAAAATAGTGACACAGCATAGTTTTCGTGGTGGCAAAGCTTTTTTGATAGCATGTAATGGAATTTGTACAATACATACACTTTTGTGGCTTATTTCATCCTCATTCTAATACAAAGATTCCTAAAGTGGGCAATATATGAAGGTGAGGTTAAAGCTTTGATTAAAGACAGCTGTACTGCTTTCCAACCTGTTATGTCACAGCATTAAGTAGAGGAATAAATAAACAAATATAAGCCTAACCTGATTTATCTGTGTGTCTCCACATAAATTTGTTTAACATAAGAACAAATAAAGCAAAGCTTTGATGGAGGTTGAGCAGAATTTTCAACATCTGTGCAGATAAATTTAATTTATTCAAAAAGAAAAAGCAGCATTAGTGCATCATGTAAAAGCTGATTTAAATTATTTCATACAACAGAAAGCATATGCAGTAGCTAAAACAAATTCAGTTTGCCTTTAAAACCCATTTCACTCAGACAACCATTACTTCTGAATTTTCTAGTATGATAATATTCTGTTATTTCTTCTTTTTCATTCTCTTCCTAATTTTACATATGCCACCAACCAAAACCACAGTTAGAAGTCCCAGGGGCAGCAACACCCTAAATGCAGCTTCTGTGTATCTTTATGGCCAGATCCTTAAAGCTGGTCAGATAAAATAAGATCAGCACAATACCTTAAACATTTGAACATAAATGAATAACAGGTGTTTGAATATTTTTTTTTAAATAAATCTTTTCACTGTAACACATTCAAACCCAGGAAAATATCTCTATATAACAACAACTCACTGTAATGGAGCTATACTAGCTTATCTCTGCAGCAAGAGACAGAGTACAGGAAGACTAAAAGAGTTTTTTTCCTGAAAATGAAAGATTAGTCAAAATGATAAATTCCTGTCTGAAACTTATCAGGAAGTGTTAAGGTGAGAATTAAAAATTAAAAATCAAAACACTGTGTATGCACCTGAAAACTATAGCTGACAAATTTCTGAACAGGATTAATGTTTTTTTAACTCAAGTCAAGACTGTAAAAAGTCTGCATGTGATTTTTGAAATCATACAGGCACACAAAGTATCACTTCAACTAAAAAATGGTGACGTATATGCATTGTAATGTTTTAAAGACCCTTTCCTTCTGGAAAAGGTTATCAGCTTGTGCTTTAGGGAGACTGTTCTCCCACCTTTAATTCTACAACAGAATCCATACCTCTGCTTCTCTGAAAATCTGAACATGATGAGCATATAGGCAAAACTCTCATTAACTTTTTAAAATACATTGTCTGTTCCTGAATACCAGTCAGCAAAGACAAGAGTATTGAAGTCTGTCAAAACCAATAAGCTGCTGTCATTAAAAAGCATCTAACTGAGAGCACAAACCTGAGTGGTGATGTGGATGGAAACAGAAGAGACTGAACTCAAAACTTCAAGAAGGGCTAACACCCACCTCAACGTACTTCTGATCTTGGTGGTTACAACAAGAAAAAAGCAAGACTCTTACAAGAAAACAAGTACACAGGAAACTTCTGTCCATTTGTGTTTTATTTGTCTTGTAGAACCAATTCAGCATGAAGCACTGTTTCATCTTTTTTTTTTTTTTTAATTCTTCTTCTTGAACACCAGGATGGTAAACTTTTTCAGAAATAACCCACACAGAGAACTCCTGAATGTTGTTCTTTCAGACTTCAGAATGCTAGAAAATTGCATGCTACAGTACCTACAGGGGTCAAGACAGATTTCTTCCTTAAAGTCAGTTAAGAGAAAAATTCCTAGGTAGAGATTCCCTAGGGGTGGGGGAGTGGAAAAGACAAAACACAAGTTATTTCTGAATCATTAAAATATTAAAATACTTGTTAAAATCCCCCCAAAAACTAACCCCAAACTTCACAGGCTTATATACATAAAATAAAATCTGTGCTCTTCACTTTCACCCCCCATAAAAATCCTCTAACTTAGATTATTTTCTAACTTTTAACTTGGTATTCCATTGTTCATTTTAACAATGAGATAGTGATGAAACACATATACCAATTATTCTCTCAAAATCTGGCTATTTACTGTAACAGTCATGATCCTGTCTTACCACTTGGGCTTTACAAGCTTTGCATTATATTGTTTTAAGCCCCAAAACAACAGTCTTTACCAGATTTCCCTGTCACCATAGGTGTCTGAGTCACATCACTAGCACTGAATAAACTTGTGAGTGAAACCATAAAAAGCACTTAAAGATGACTCTGTAACGGGGTAAGAACCGAAAGCTCCACCTTTCAGCCTGTGCATTTTTGTCTTTGTTTCGAATGCTAGAAGAAACCATACGGAAGGAAGATTAGAGTATTTAGAAACTAGCTGTTTGACAGAGGCAGAACTGCTGATAGTGAGTGGGTTGTGTCTGTCTTTTTTGGCTGATCACAACAGAGGTCTGAAGCAAAACAGAAACTCTTGATAAGTTTGTGTAAAGCGGCAGTAGCATAAGGGCGGGCAGCAGGAGTTCATCTGAAGTTCAGGGCAGATGCTGCCATTAGTTTACACTGCAGGAAAGTAAAATTGCTTCTGGATTTACCTCTTCCTCCCAACATCAGTGTTGAGCCATGCTGTGTCGCAGAGTCACAATGTCAGTAGGAAAGCAGTCTTTTAGCAGGATACCACGCTCACGATGGCAGTCCAGCTCTTCAATAAATCCATACCAGTAGATGACTAATCCAGGGCCAAATCTATCAAGCAAAAAAGAAAAATGAACTTATGTGATTGTGTTAGGGGAACCTTAATTTCCCACCTCTGTGATTCCAATAGAAGTAAATCTGTTAATTTCACTGCAAAATTGGAGAGAGTATTTGACCTCCATTTAATTTTCAAATTTCAACTCATGTTCAATTGATAGATGTCAATAATACCTGATTCCATGAATAAAAATGCTATTTAGACACTCAAACAATTCATATCAGTCTTTTTTTTCTCCTTTGAACACTTTGCACGTATCAGCAAAAAATAGCTATGTATTAAATAGTATTCAATAACTTTGATATATATGGAAATGTCTCTTCCCATGTACTCAGCTTTTTTAGATTTGGGGGTGTAGACATTAAAAACACAAGAGTTTTAGCACATCTCAGTTCATGCAAATGATAATCCATGAAGATAACAACGAATCCTTAAAATATAATCTCTACAATGAGCTATTATTCAGGCAATTATTAACATTAAGCACAATTCAGAAGAAACAGAAAGTTTGTGCTGTAACGTCTCTGAAATGTGCCTCAAGAATTCCTCAGATATTGCTAACTCTGACTGATCCCCACTAGGCAAACTCAGGAAGTAGCCCCATGGACTATTTTACCCATCAGGAAGTTCAGACCTTCAGGCTGGGTTCATAAAGAAGTAATCACTATCAATCACTGTGTACTGTGATATGTTTTGCACATCAGTTTCACGTTTTTCCTACTGAGAGCACTTAATTAAAGGGCAGCACTACTTCTGGTGTAGTGTTGCAGGAATTTTACAGTGGAATCATAAATTATGAATGTTGGGTTAGTAAAAGGATGTCTAAAAACAGAACTGCTTTCTGCAGTCTAACATTACAGCAGTCTGTACAACATTAGGCCAAAAAGCTTTTTCTTCCTTGATTTATTATATGCTGTACTGAACTTGCCAAAACCAACAGTGCAGGATGAGCTGTTAGATACCGTCTGTACAAGAAAAAGTTCAATAGAATGTCATGTAATGGTTTATATGCAAAGCCATGCTCAGGACTCAACCAATATGGTAGACAATTTTTGTTAATGTTTAATTATAATAAAAATGTGATGAGAGGAGCCATGGTAACCTAAATTTCCCCTGAGCAGAAAATACAAGCACTCAAAGCCAGGGGTAGTGCCAGACTGGCTTCATGAAGGTGGTTTCTTTCCAGCAGTCGGGGGAAAACTCTATTTGATGTGCTTATTTAATGGAATAGGCATCAAAGGAAAAAGAAACCTTGGTGGTTTCCTACTGCAGTTTCAATTAGATACGGGAGTCTTTTGCCTGAAACTGCTCCAGAGTGTTGTAACATTGTCTATGGCTACTATTCTTCACCCTCGAATTGGCCACAGTTCAGTGGCAGAGTAAATAACCCCTAAGCGCAGCTGAGGCCACAATGGCAAATGTGCTGTTTGCAGCTGGAAGATGATATTTGAAAGCTGAAAGGTTAAAACTCTGACAAATCTGGCTACACTAGATAACACATTCTTACACGTTTGGCAATAAATACAGTTCAGACTAAAAAGTGGCTAATGTGGAAGGATAATGCTGCCTGCACACAATTCCTAAGTTTTCTCTGGCTGGCCAACAACTTCAGCCTCTACTGTCTCTAAGGATATTGTCCTTTGATCAAGTTAATGTGAGGCCAAGACATGCAGAACCTCATGTACTGGGGAGGCCAGATAGCCTAGCAGGAGCAAGGGGCCAATGGCAGATGAGGCCAAGGACTGATGCTCTCAGCCTCTAGTGAGAGACAGCAGTTTGCTGATGCTGGATGGACCCTTACTTTTGTTATTTCACAGACTGTGTGTCTGTTCCCGCATCAAGCAAACATAGAAATGGGATAATTGGGTGGGGATGTACTTATGTACTAACCAAAGTTATTTTAAAAGCAAAAATCCCCGCTACATAGGGAGCAGACCTTAAATTTCTAATGGGCTGCTTTGTGCAAGGCAGAAGCTATGAAATGTATGCAAGCAGTTACTGATTAGGAGCACGTGTGCCAGGTAAAATCCTTATGCTAATTGGCAGCTGCTCACCCAAGTTTTGAAGGGAGTGTGTGGCAGTTTGAATCCCCCATTCATTGTAAAATGCATGTGGCACTGTGCTTAAGTAATTTCTTAAGTTATTTCTTGAAACCGTAATTTTAAATAAAATTACTATTTTGAGACAACTCAAAAGGCTAATTTAAGTCTTTTTAGCAAATCACCTCTGCTTAAGCACAATTTTTGATGCACTTTAAAAATTACGTTCAGAAATGCCAAATTTGGTAATAAAATTTATATACAAGAACATCTATAGATTGTTAATGGCAGGAGCAAGTACATCTTTAGCATGAAAATATCCATCAATCCTGCTTTTGACTGCGGTGTCATAGCAAAACTGTTTGCCCTGTGCTGCCTAGGTTGCACTTTTTTCAACTCTATTGTGTCATTCCTTCTATTATAGCTCTATAACACACAACTCCTGTACGGTCACACGAAAAAACACACCATACTTTTGTTTAAAAGCACTTAAGTGCGCTACTTAAGACCAAAATTAACTTGTTGGCACATTAGCATTTGCCACTGACTATCAGGAACTCCTGCTGCTAAGTGCTAATTTCTCTCTCATTAAAGCCCAGAGTTGCCAAATCACAAACAATGCCACTGGTTAATTACTGCTGCCTTAATTTGAAACGACATTTAACCTTTTTGTGAAAACGGATGAGGTAGGGAAGGGTAACTTAAAGTAAGAACTATCCTTTTTAATTCGACTCCTTCCAAAGTGTGGATATGATAGCATGATGATTGAAAGTCAGGCAACAAAATGACTTCTTGCATCACTTGTAACATTTAACAAGCTAGTGAATAACCGTGGTTTCCACACGAGAATGAACTTATAAATAACAGAATGCTCACTTGGTATTGCTATGGAAAGGGGACACATCCATTAGCTCCGAGGAGGAGAGAAAAACTTTGAATGTACCAATTGGTTCTAAAACGTAATATAGACACAAGATAGGCTAGGTTATTTCATAGGAAAGACACATTGGAGATAGTTTAAGCTTAAACTGAAAATCTACCTTAGAATGTAATAAACTACTGGACTCCTATGCGTTTTCTTCTTGCTCAGAAAAACTGAATAAATTCCTGAGAATGTACCTAACTTTTATTTTTCCTCCCTTGTCTTTCTTTAGTTCTTAGCCTGAAAAGCCTAGGTGTGAAGGAATATATCCAAATGTTATACAAAACTGTAGATTCAGCTATTTCAGTGAAACTAGTGCTTTTAAAACTTTACTTTTATAAGGAATTTTTTCTTAAAGCTGAAAAGAAATCTAAGTAACTAAGGTTTGGTTAATTCCATGCAGCCAAAATAGAATAAACAGTAAATACAGAGGCAAGCTTCCTTCAGAACATAATCAACATAGCAAGTGAAAGTTGTCCACACAGGTTGCATCAGTTTACCTAAAAATCAACCAATAACTAGGTAGCTACCATTATATAAATCCTGGTTTATTCATTGTCTAGCTTTGACATTAGAAGTTGTGACTACAAGGCAGCCCAAGCCGACTTAGCTGTACTTGGGGTCTGAGTACCAGAAGTGCCAAAAGGGAGGTAGGGAGGTTTATGACCCCAAGGCACGGCAAGACCAGAGCAGGATTACAAAAACTTGCAAATTAGTTTAGGCCTGATTTAGGCTTGATATAGAAGACTAAATTTAGTCTAAGCTCTAAAGGCAGAAGACAGTGTCTTCCAAAGAATCAACCAAAGCATTTGAGATAGATGACGGTGATAGTAAAATACAGTTTGAGTACAGCTAAATATAGTTGCAGGCTCAACAAGTTCTTTAAATAAAATTTACATCTGACCATACTATTTGCTCTAAATAAGTCAGGGTTGCACTAATTTCAGATTGTTCAGAGGCACTCTTGTACTGGTTTAATGACACAAATTTTGAAAGAAATCCATAGTTAAAGAAGTACGCCAATAATCCTGGGACACTGGGTTTTGTCTTGGAAAAGAGTTTCACAGAGATATACTGAAAAGCCAGGAAGGTAAAAATCAGATAACCCAAAGCCAAATGGCTATTTGTGTTAAGAAAAAGCACCGCCACCACCACCAACGACAACAACAAACCAAACAAGGAACCATTAAAAAAAAAAAGGGGACAGAAAACAACAAAGTAAAATGCGAATCTGGATTTAACTTGCCCTCCAGTTGAACCAGTTTCATGCTAGAATAGAAAGAAGACATTTATTTATCAAAGTGGCCTAGTAGGCTCACCCATATTCTACTTCACTTCAAGAAAAACTACTTTATAGTAACATCTTTTCTTCTGGAATGTCTGTGTGGGGTCCATACTAGCTTCTAAGGATTTGCCTAAACATGTGGCTATTGTGAGGCCATTTTTTCACCATCAAAAAGCCTTGCATGTGGTTTTATAAAAAATGCATTTTCAACACACTGCTTGATACTGAAGAGAAATGTAAAACAACTTGCAATTGTTTTTATACAAATGTTCACTTCACTTAGTTTATTTGTTACAGATGGGTTTTACGCATCTCAGCATAATGTAAATAATTTGAATTCCAAGAGACTCTCATAATAAAATGCTGGCATAAAAATTATTATTTCTAATATGCATGCATTTATAGAAATATTTTATCAAACAGATTAAGCCAAGTATTAATGTTATGAAAGCATAACAGTCTACCTGGTTGGTGATTTTAATTACGAAGGTCAGAACTGAATGTGTCTTTGAAGGACTGCATTCTGGTCTCCCTCACTTTTCAATGTCAGCTAAAAACCTGGCTTTGTTTTCTTGATTTTCTTTTTAAATATGAAGCAAATCAGAGCATTACCATTTGCATATCACCATTTATTTCCTGGGGAAGGGGAGTTACAAAAGTTCACAAATAAATTATTACATTCTAAGTCAATTTAACATGGTTCTTCAGAATCACAGCTGTGAGCAAACAGGTTTTACTTGTAGCACT